TTTCTTATTATAATCTTAGATGATAATTTTTCTAACGATAATTATTATCGCGCGTGTTAGATGCTCGTTCTTTTTTTTTCTCTCTCTATTTTATACTCACGTGTAAGTTTAAATATACATGCATATTTATTTTAAAAAATTGATTAGACACTCGATATTTGAGACAGTACTTTTTTTCTATATATATATATAGAAACTAGAGTACTTAGGAAAACTAGAGTACGAGGTTAAAAATTACGACCGACTTTATCTAGATTGCCACGATTTTCTAGCTGAGCATTATTTTAATGTAAATAAATGTAGAAGGTGTTGTTCGCGAGTAAAACTCTTTGCGGACGACGACAACAACGACAAAGACGACTGACGATGACGACGACGTCCTACTATTCCTTCGAAGAAAATTACGAAAAGTAAAGGGCCGCGTGAGAGAAACGTATAAATCGTATACCCTAACGCGTTATAGCACCAGGCACGAATCGTTATTACCGAAAGCCGATAACGATAACGTTCGCGCGAACTCTTCTCAGCTATCGTTAGAAGCTTTAAACGCGTTGCTCTAACGATCACGTTTGTCCTGTTATTCCGACGGCAATCAACTTTACAGAATAATAAATTTCAAAACACGACCTTAGGTTAGTAGTGGTGGTAATAAAGATTTACGAATGAGTTATAGCACCCGATGATGTTACAAATGATAATTATACTGGTACCGTCAATCACAAAAACAATTATTAATCATTGGTATCATCGTCAATTTTGAAAATTAATTTTTTAATCAAATATTTTACAATAAAAATCAAAATTAAAGTGAGAATTTTTACAATTCGACGATCTCTTACATGTTGTAATTTATTAAGGCTTCCCCCTTATTGAATGTTTTCATTCACACGGTCTATCATCTTCCATAGTTAAAGGAACCGGTGGAACATCAGAGAACGATCTCCCCGCATCGTGTATCGTGCGTTTTGTTCCGGTCTATAATTCTTTGCTCCCGCTTTGGATACATACATACATATATTCCTATAAATYATTTCGCTTTCGGTCTGTAACTGCGAGAGTGCCATAACGTTTAATCGATTTGCACACAACTGCATATGTTATGTATATAGAGGATGCTTCATAAACCACTCGACCTCGATACGACGACGACGACCACGACGACGACAACGACAACGGTGAACAGCTACACACGCGTTGCTAACTTTTACTTTGGATAAAAGTTTCATTTTTAATACGAATCGTTGTTGTGTGAGATAAAATGATCATGAATTTAAAGCCGAACAAAGTTCGGATTATTTTCGACGCCTACGTGTGGACTAAGTTTCAGGAATCTACAACGAATAGTAGTAGTAACATCTGAACTCTTTTAAATGTATATATATATATATACATAACAATACTGCGAGTAATGGCCGGAAGCATAAATTTTGCAAAACGTTATTCGTTCGAATGTCTCTTAGGAAGAACGACGCGAGACGATTGACCTCAATACAAAATCTGTCGCATTCGCCGATGATATTTATAAAGCTTTTGTGTACACTTCGCAGCGTATTGTGAAATTGTGATGAACCCACGGAATACTTTATTCCTGTTTGCCATTTATGTTTTCGACGAGAAGTTGTTGCGTTTCAATTTTCCAGATTCACGTTTAGTTATTGATAAAACGAATATTCTATTGTATATCTTTTCCAACGAAGATTTCATCAAATGAGTTTTTAACAATTCACGAATATATCATAAAATTATGATTTAATATCTCTTCAAACGTACGTATATATTTTCGAAACATTATCATTTATTAATTTAATTGAATGATTAACCCCTTAAGCAGCATTGATTTTGAAAAAAAAAACGGCAAAAAAAATCTTTTTTTTTTGCATAAAACATAGTTTTGAACATTGTTTTGACAAAAAAATTTTTTAAATACAGAAATAATCAATATTTTTATGTTAATTTTGGATTTTGTTCCACATTGCAGAGAAGAGCCAAATATTGCAATGTTACATGTACGTCGAGTTTTTAATCTTTCTTTTCGAATTACTATTTCGGAAAAAACATTTTTCGTAAAAAATGATTCTTTTTCTTTGCTTTCACATTCTTATTTTCAATTTTCTATTATATTTGAGTGTAAAAAATCATAGAAATATAAAATAATAGGCCGCTCGAGTTAACTCGGGCGTACTGCTTAAGGGGTTAACTTTAAGTAAAAATAATTGTTCAGAACATTGGTGGTAGTACCATTAATATTCTTACCGTAAAAATACGAGTCAATATTTTGAAAAATAAATCTAAATAACAATCGAACTTTCATGATACGTCCATTATATCCCCGCCCCCATTAGTAATGGTAATAAACTAACTCCATCGTGTGGTTTCTTTACGAGGATGTTGGGGATAACCCCATTGCTTTCTTCGAGAACGTCCGATAGTAATTTATCGTTTAGTGATTCATCGCATGGGTAAAGAAAAGAGAAAAGAAGAAATAAAGAAGCAGGTGCAAGTGAAATAGTGAATTGGGTAGCAGGTTTAAATCAATCGTTCGTCGTCGTCGTCGTCATCGTCATAGCTTTAGAGAACACTGACTGACATAAGCAAAGCACAAAAGCATGGCGGTAGAAGTTGGCTCTCGTCGAGTCACAGATACTTTCGAGATACTTTTATACTTGAATATCAGGGTCTCGGTCGGCGCCGCATAAACACGTCGTCCCTGTCTTCCTCTCTTCGATTTCGACTAGGGAGAATAAGAGAGAGAGAGTCGGATAATTATACAGCGTTCTCGTCGCTCAACAAAGCGTATCTTCTAACTAGCGCTAATAACGCCGCTAATGCTCTTCCGTGGAAACTGCTCGTATCTAACGGCCACTTTGGTGAGTCCAACGTGTTCAACAGGAAAAAGATAAGATAGAAATAGCCTGCTAGAAGAGAGGAGGAACTAAGAAGAGAGAAAGAGATCGTTCCTTTCTTTCTCACGACCAAAAAAAGCTCCGTTTCTCTCTTTCTCACATCGTAAAGCATAACTTTACTTCTCTTCTCTTCCTTTGCTGTGATTATTAAAATCGCGTTAAGTCGAGTATAACAACACCCCTCTTTCGAGAAAAGGTCTCTTTTAAAGCTTTTGATCTTTAGAAGTTCTTTTGCCAAAGCAAACGATGCATTTACTTATGTAAAAGCTTGATACAATTCTAAAGAGAATTATAATTTCTTAATCACATTTTTTTCTTTATGAAGTATAATTAAAACAATGTTATCTTATAACTCTGACGTGTATCTTGCAATAATCGGAAATTATATTACAAATATTTATTTGCTTACTCGCCTGAAAGATATGACGTCAAACATAAAATCAACATAAAATGAAATTATTAATGACAAGTTGTTAAACAAGGTAAACAGGGATAAGTTTAATACACCAAGGTAGTGCGTGAATAAGATTTAATGGAACCGTAATAGAAAAGAAATGTTCTTGATAACAATCTAAACGATCAAGGTGTCCAAATGGAACGTACAATAAATATTCCTCGAGATACTTGCAAAATATCGAACATTCCGGTAGAGAATAGAAACGCACGGTGCAACACTCGGTTTACTCGGATAGCTTAAGGATTTGATTTTTATTTTCTTTCTTCTTTCTTTTTTATATTTCATCGACAGAGGCGGCAAGCTCAAAGAGATCACGCCAGAAATAAGGTCATAAAGAGTAATTACATCTTGTAGTCGCCATAAAGCCATAAAATCCGACAGCGTCTCGACAGCGGCCAAGCAAGCTTATAAGTTATACCACTTAATTACTCACATTCACCTTAACGGATAACCGAAATGGCTCTCTTCTCTGATATTTAACGCTCTCCGAAAGGCCACCACTACCCCACCTTTTTATATATCCGGCAAAACACTCGTTTTCTAGCTAAGTTTTTTAGTCATCCGAGACAAGGTCTATCTTTTTATCGAAGAAAACCTTTCGAAACGGCGGTTATACCAGATTGGCTCTGACCTATCTATAACATTAAAAAAAAAGACACTTTCTTACGTTTAAATTTAAGATCAATCAAAAAAAATCTTTCGTGATTTCGTATCCCTCCCTGTCCCTTAATAACTCATTTAAACAATAAGATATGCTTTTAAAATTTTTATAAAAGTATCATTAAGGTTTCTCTCTGATATATATTTATGATCAAATAAATCAAATAATTAGAACTTGTTATACGCTATTGAACAGTATTAAAAACCCCATGAACCGTGTCTTAAATCGATTATCATACATTAATTGATTATCAATGAACTTTCAATCGTACGATCTTTTTAAGACTAAACTAAAAAGAATGATTGTACTTCTATAAATTAACTTCAAATAAAATTATAAAAATAGATGTTACTCCCGTTATTGGATTATAAATAAATAATATATATCGAGTTTATCTATCCACTCGTATTTTCTTTTTCGTCGTCCTTTTATGACAGGCAATAACTTTAAGAAACCTTTACATTTATTTTGTCATATTCAGGACGTATTTTTATAAATATTGTTATACTCATTGAAATATATATTCTTTTAAAGATGACAAAATATATTTTTATATGTTATTAGATTAATTATCATTGGAATAATAGCCTTTGTGGATATTACATGTGAAATAGAAAATAAATGATTTGTAACGTTAATAATTCAAAATATCCCAAGGTATAGAAAAGTTGTATTCGGCTCAGCAGGTATCTGGGAAGCTAGGTAAAATATTTAAGTAAATGAAAATTACACATCCGTTTACAACCAAACATAAATATAATACAAAAGTTTCTATTGCACCCTGCAATCTTTCACAGATCACTATTATACGTATTTCTCACGATCAAGATATTTATATCGTTTAACGCTTAAATAATACAAATAGCCCCCAAAAACATTAACAGCAGGTATCTTTACAAGTATCCGACGGTTCGGGGATATAAAAAGAACCTGTAAAATATTATAAAATAATAAAACAAAATATGTAAAATCGTCGCTCATAATAATTTCTACTTATTATAGAAAAAATCTGTAAAAAAGAAGAGGTAGGATCAGTGGATGTGGTGAAAACGTTACGTCGGTCAAAGTCACACGTCAAATCCTCGCATCTCGTCTCGCATCTCGTCTCGCAACCCGTCGGTTCCGATCAGTCCGACGTGAGCCTGGCCAGTTGGTAGGTTGGTTGGTTGGTCGGTTGGTTGGTTGGTTCGTCCTTTCGCACGTTCATGCCACCACGATGATCCTGGGGGATTTGGTTGACGAGCAAGAGGAACCGAGTGAGAGAGAAAGAGAGAGAGAGTGAATAACCAAAGGTGGTGGGGATAGTAGGGTTGCGTTGGATGAGAAACAGAAAAGTGGGGGGTTGAAACGGAGAGTTGGAAGCGCGCGAGCGCTTCAGTCGACGCTGAAACCTTCGAACTAAAAGGACGTGCGTGCGCGTAACTAAACTATCATCATCGTCATCGTCGTTGTCGTAGTAGTTTCCCATCCAACTGAATTTCTTGTCTTAACCTTTTGTTAGATTCGATGTCGCTCGTAGTCGCACACATATCTGACTTTTTCGCCCATAGAACCCTCGTTAAAGGACCTCGTATAGGAGGCCCCCATCTTCTTTTTTCCTTAAGTGCGTCGAGCAAAGTTTTTTGTGAAAAGATAAAAAAGGAGAGGAGCACTAACGGTGTACTGCAATCTAGTGAATACATAAATAACGACCGATCATCATCATCATCGTCACATCGTTCAACGGATTCTATTTTCGGATTTGTACTTTGAAAACGATCAGTTTTTTTTCAACGAAGAAGAAGGAGAGGAGAACCAAAATACAGCGCTTTTAAGCGCTCTTTAAGAGATGCTGGCTTCTAACACTAATCAGTATCTATGTCCGGATTATTTAACTCCTTTGCCAACTACGGTTAGTATGGATATACTTTTTTTTCATTTCATTATTTTAATGGGAAAAAATTACAGGGTGTAATTGTAATACTAATAGGGTGTGATTTTTTATTTTTATAATATTTTCTCTCTAAGGGACAGAAAAGTATTTGAAAAATATAACTTTTAAATCAATCGCGTTAAAAAATTGTACATACGATTGTTCTCTCTTTTTATCTTTTATTTTTCTCTCTGTCAGCCCCGTGTACTCTCCACCGGTATGCACCCACCTGCCCACCACCCTTTTTCTCTTCTACATATCGCTTTTGTGTCCACCTGTCAATGTCGTGACCACGGTACATTCGCTAATAAACAATAACATTCAAATCAAAAGACCGTTTCGTAGTTGTCAACAATTGTTCCGATTGACTAAAGCTTTAGCACCGTACCCAGTCGTAGGAACAAAGCATTGCGGAAACTTTTACATTTTAATAAATATATATAAAACATCAAATTCTCAATGATATATTGGAAAATTTTTATTTTGCACGAAGGTTGTTGTTGTTGCATGCCAATTACTTTGCATTATACATAATTAAAAGTGAGTTAATAAGAAGGTAACAAAAAAAAGAAAAAGAAAATATGAACGTTTGAAAAGGAAACCGTTATAAGTTACAAGAACGTGATTAATAGACGATGATCTTCTACTTGCTAGTCGTCGTCGTCATCGTCGTAGTCGTAAATAGCTTGGCTTCTCTTCGGCAATTCACAGTAGCACCGATACAACCAACCAACACAACGAATACGCGTTGCACCATTAGCACGAGCAAACTCACACACACTTTGTCACACCGTCGTGCACGTTGCCGCACCTCGGCTTTACAACGGACGTTGCATTTTAATTACGCCTACGAGAGGCGGTACATCCGCCGTGTACATCGATACTACTACTATTCCCTATTTAAGTGTGTGTGCTTGCTTTTACCACCAACAAAAATACCACACACAAACACACACCCTCCAATTCAACATTTCTATACGAAAAACCTAAAATGATCTTATGGTTAGATTTCAAAAGGGATTTAACAAGGAACGAATTTTACCTATTGTGTTACGTGTTTATCTCGTAATCAATTAATTTTGTTTATTATTATCGGATATATTTGGACTATAATATTATTTATATTACAAGAAATAAATTCGTAAGAAAATATAATTATACCATTGCTATCTTGTTGTGACATAACATGTGAGACAACACTTCAATGAGTTAATATTAATGACTAGCTTAATTATAATTATCACGAAAGATCAGGAAGTTTTTTTTTACATTACTAATGATTTGTTTTATTAATTATATTAATTTTATTAATTATATATTCATTCTGCTATGAAAAGGAAGATCTTTTTTATTAGATTTCACTTTATCCTATCTACGTTGTAAAGAAACATCACGTATATCGATAGTGTCGATCGCGACGGCATCATATAAATGGATCGATCTTCTGTCGAGAAGATCACTCTTTTCTTAGCCTCCACCCTCCCCTCTCACCTTCTTCTTCTTTCGATGAGAGAGAAAGAGAGAGAAGCAAAAGCATCGATATGTCTCTTGCCGTAAAACCCCGTTTTTCTATTTCTCCCTTTTCTATCCGTCACGATGACGGACATAAATCCTTCTCGCTAGCCTCTCCTCGTTTTCTCCCTGTCAACCACCCCACCCCACCTCCTCCTCCTAGCTCCGTCCGGAACGCGTGACTGATCGCGTACGGTCCGTGACAAGAATGAAAAACGTTTCTCGTAAAGACGGGGCTACGTCACAGCAGTAGTTCCTAGTGAAATGCGATTTTCAAAGGAATCGATGGTTTAGGATTGAGAGAGAGAGAGAGAGAGAGAGAGAGAGAGAGAAAGAGAGAAACCTTTGCTTCACGAATAATAAATTAATGAAGAAGCCGAACGACAGTGTAAAGATCTTTTATGACGTTCCGTCAAAATTTCCGTCCTCTGTGAGATTAATGGCCCATCCTTGTTCCCAGACAATGATCGAACGGAACGGCTAAGAGAATTTCCAAGAAAAAAATAATCATTCTTTTTCTTGATTGTCTATCGTGGAACGATACTTTCGATTTTACGATAAATCAAAAATAATTAATGCGTCTGGGGTTTTAAACAACTGACTAATAAAAATTGACAATTTGGCGAGCTTTTGAAAAATAAAGAAAACGTTGAAGAATGATTGTTCGTTGTGAGAACTAGCAGCAAAGTTGAAAGCTACGTTTTACGGTGGTGCCTTCGTCGGTTGCAACGATTGTACATCGCGATGGATCGATCGCCCTTGGCCAAACGCTTTAACGTAAACAAATCACAAACACGCTACCAACTCTCGTTCAGTTCCTATTTCGCATTAAATCTATATGTTTTCATAGATATCGTATAATATACTAAACACCATATTTTTGTAAATGTATGAACGTAATGTTATTTGTTTTGTTTGTATTTTAGCTGGATGCAAAGAAAAGTCCTCTTGCTCTTCTTGCGCAGACTTGTAGTCAAATCGGAGCGGATCCACCGTCAAGCAGATCTCTGTTGAATGGTTCGGACAAAACTTCGAAATCTAATAAATCTAATCGAGATCATTCTCGCGAGAGAAGTTCACCATCGAGAAGAACACCGACAAGCGAGGTGGTTAGTAGATCAAATTCCAAAAATTCTCACGAATCTTTCGGTCGTGAAAAAACGTCCAGTCCGGAAGATCAACAACGATCGGCATCCAGTCATTCAACGTCCGCTCGTTCGAGAACACCAGGAAATAATAATAACAAAAGATGTCCGAGCAATCAGAGTGCATCCTCGGCACGAGCAGCGACACCGCAGGGAAGAAAAACGACTACACCAGAAGGTGCAGTATATCTAAGCGAACCGAGTCCAAGCGACGGAATTTCAACGAGTTCCTCCGCTCGAGGAACTCATCATGGTAGTCCTACGATAAGGCCAAATTCTTATAGCCCTGCCGGAGTATTAGCCATGACAGATCCATCGATAAAGGATCTACCACTCGGTACCTTCAAAATCGGTCTACCTCCTTCGACAAGTTCAGCTTATCATTTAGCTTATGGTGGTTCGCAATTGCCAATAGACGTCATGTCGGCTGGTAGCTCGCTATTGTCTCCGCATCAGCACGCTCTGAAAAATGGACTTATCGGTGGCCCGACAAGTCCCTATTTGGCTTACAGCAACCGTTTAAAACCTTCGCCTAGCAGTGGAACCGACGCATCGCCTATAGGTCTCTGTCGGGATCCCTACTGCACCGGGTGTCAATTGAACTCTCACCTACTGGCTGCTGCAGTGGCAGCAGCGGCGGCTGCTGCAACGACCACCGGCGGTTCGAGTGTTCCTTCACAAACGAACGGTAAACTCTCTACGAGTCCTACGGTTCTACCTCCCTCGACAGTTTCTTCTTCTTCTACATCTTCTTGTCCATCCGGTTGCGTCCAGTGCGATCATAAATCTGGATCCGGGTCGCCTTACGGCTCCGGAATGTCAACGGCTACCGCAGCTAGCGTAGCTGCAGCTGCCTACGCTCACGCGCAATTGAGTGCTCTCGCTGCAGCCTCCCAGCTTCCATATGTCTGCAACTGGATGGCCGGTGACACCGTCTACTGTGGCAAACGTTTTACCACCTCGGAGGAACTCCTTCAACACCTCAGAAGCCACACAAATGCTTCCGTTCCAAGTTCCGTTAACAGCACGGACCCTTCCAACGCTACAGCCGCTGCCGTTGCCACTGCAACGGCCCTTTCGATGCTCTCGCCTCAGTTACCTCCACCTCCCCCACACTCCTTAGCCTTACCCTCCACTCATCCTTTTTTTTCAAGAACCTATCCTACACCCCCGCTTAGTCCACTCGCCACGGCACGTTATCATCCGTACAGTAAACCCGCACCACCTATGTTACCTCATTCCCTTTCGTCCCTTGCTTTCCCTCTACCTCCAACCCACCCCGCTCACGTCTTGCCACCTCCACCTCACCCACACCCGCATCATTACTTTTCGCCGTACTCGTTTTACGCTGCTCCAAGGCTCGGGGCAGCATCCGGACTTCATCAATAAGAAGAAGAAGAAGAAGAAGAAGAAGAAGAAGAAGAAGAAGAAAAAGAAGAAGAAAAAGAAGAGGAACAGAGCCGCCCAGCCATTGTTGAAAGAGCCTACGACTGTGATTTTTTCTCTGCAAGGATGAGCGAGAGAGAAATAGAGAGAGGATTCGAGGAGATTACATTTTTGTCTATTAAAGCCCAAAAATACGGGTACGCTTTTTTACCATATATCTATTAAATTTTCAAATGTATGTATTTTTCTTGCTCGTTATCTCTCTCTCTCTCTATCCCTTTGTATATGTATCTCTCTTTTCCTCTCTCTCTATCTTTTTTGCTCACATGCATACGCGTACCTTCGCCATCTTTTCTAGAAATTTGTTCATACGCAATTTATCGTTGTACGCGTTTCTTCGTAAAGTAAAAAGATTTACGACTTAGTCAAAGAAATATTCATAAATTTCTTTGTCCGTCTATCTTTTTCAGAAAAATAGAAACACTGAGTATATTGTATATGTACATAAATATATATATGTATATATATCGAGGATCTTCTCTCGATTTGATGGTACAATCGGAAAAGGGTACAACACGCCCCCATACAGGTCTCACTTTACGCCTACATCTAACAAAAAAATATCACCGATATAAAATAAATATTGTATGTTGAATATAACAAACTATAAAATGGGTGATGTTAATAAATAATAGTGTTATAAAAAAACATTAATTTATCAATCATCTTCAACATCGATTTATTCGAAAATGAAGTCTTGTACAAGAAAAAAATGTTCACTTTATTTTTTCATGTAGTTTTTATCCCCTTGTATCACTAAATCTGAAATATCCTCTGTGTATGTATATATGTTGCTGTTAATTTGTGAAATAAGCAGGCAAAATTCTGAGATAACTATATACCGACCTGTTAAAATGCGAAACAAGACAAAAATTACCATGCATACTTCAACTAAATATATAAATTTACAGGAGACGAGTTGTTGAAATATGAGACATGCAAGATATCCTTCAATTTCATTTCAATACCTGCCTATATTACACCATTGTAAGTCCGAAAACAAAAAATATGTTTTTCTTCGTTTTATGGTCTCCCTAATAAAAATTATCTAATCTGAAGATAGAGTTTCTCTATTGATTTAAGAAATTAAACTAGGTTTCCTTCGAAAACTATGAAAACGAAAATAAAATAAAATAAATGGGAACAATGAGTGCTTATCTCTTTCTGTCCTTTAAAAAGCAGATTTTCTGTCAGCCATACAATTCTATCGACTTTGAACATACCACATTGAAATAAAATAGTAGAATATTTTTCATCTCATACTTCAACTACTCGGCCCCCACATCTTGTAAATTCATATATAATCTACTTATTTCGGATTTAACTGAACCATACAATATAATGGTAACATATATATATATATATATATATATATAAGTATATGTATATACTTATGTACATCGTACCGCATCTATTTTTGCGTAACCAAAGTTTTAGTATGTATCGCGTGACGCTTTTTAACTTGCGTCTTTCGATATTGTATTAAATTAAAAAAAAAAAAAAACAAGCGAAGAGATGGAATGTTAGAGAAATATTGTCTGTAAATAGATTTATTATTCTAGTATGATAAAATTGTAAATGTCTCGAGATTTTATCGTCTAGAAACTACTCTTGTATCTTCGATATCGATGTGGTGGGATTTTTGTATTTTTCAAGTTATCGTTGTTCTATGTTATTTGATCTCACATTGATAACTTTTTAAAATCGAAATACGAGAAACCTATTGAAAAGAGAGAGAGAAAGAGTATGATTTGTAGTTTATTTTTTTGTAACCTTCCTCAAATTTCCCCGAGGATTATATTGTAAAATTTGTAAGCAAGTATATTTGAATTAGTAGCATTTTGAAATATCGTAATACGATTCTTTATAAAAATCGTTTTTCCTTCGAGATGACTATGATAAATTCTGGAAACATACCGTATGACTTGAAACGTTACTACGCTTTACAACTCGCTCGTAAAAGCATAGGAATCGAAGATACGTCAAGGATTAGGATTGATGCAGCTGACGGGACTCACAATGGGCGCCTTTGTAATGATCGTTCATTCGTTCGTATGTTCGTTTTGACGCTGCCGTTATCTCGAAAACTTTTATTACAAAATTGAAATATAATCTTAAAAATGTCTCTTTCGTGCCTTAGTAAATGGTAGTAAATCGTGAACCTATCTACCGGGAATAATAACAACTTATATAAGATAGTATATACATTAAGAATATGCACGCACGCCTACGCATAGGCATACGGTAGATACAAAAAAAAAAAAATAAAATAAGAATCGTATAAAGATTAAAACGGATTAAACATTTGATATAGGAACGATTCTCATAAATATTAAAATAGTGTTAACTTATCGATGCGAAATACAAAGAGAATATGCCAACCACGCATGGAAGCGAAAAGACGCGAATTCGTGGAACATATCGAAAGAAAAGAAAAGAAAAAATAAAGAATAAAATAAAAGAAAATAAAATTGATCGTTTAGTGATACGAATCTAGCATCGCATTATATTATTTCTCCCTGTTATATTCCGATTTCGAATCGGTTCGGTTTGGTTCGGTTCGGTTAGGTTTACTTTCATAGAAAGGAGAGGAAGACACCATGCGGAAGAAACGTCGTAGCTGCTGGCCGAGGTTGGCCTCTCACGAATACATTATCCTTTGTAACGAGGTGAACGGGTCAAGTAGATGGAGTCACTGCGTCTGTTCATAAATCACTCGAAGGGCAAGCGAGATCACCCCTCGTAACCCAACGGCGTCCAATGCCGACATGCCCTCTTCTGCATCTGTTTCCGGCTTTTATCGTTCTTCTTTCCGTCGGCCATTAAATTACGACTCCTTTTCGTCTTCCGTTTATCGTCTTTCACGTTCCACCCATACCTCACTCCCTTTCGAAGAAACGACAATTCCGAGAATGCGCAAATTTCGGATATCTATCAACCCAATGAATAACGTTTCAACGAAATGACATTGTTCTTCCTCTTCTTCTTATTCTTTTTCTTCTTAACCGGTCTTACAAGACGTTTCGTTATCGCAGACGTTCGTTTACTCTGGGTAAATCATTTATCTTAATCACTCGGAATAGTTACTTCTCTCGAGTTTGTTTGCGCAAGACTATTATTCTTTCGTTATAATACTATTCTTGATGGCAGACACATTTTATGAGGATGCATTAAAAGATACAATAATTTCGGTCAATGAAACTTTACATTTTCCTCTCGTAAAATATGTGCTATAAAAAAGAGAAAAAAAACAAAGAACACTGGCTTGGTAATTAATTATAAGACTCTCCACTAATACCTTCTAATACACTTCATATACTTGTCATATCAAAGAGGTCGTAAAGATCAGACATTTATATTTCAATGCTCTTGTGAAATATTATATAGCATTTCAACTTGTTTTTCTATCAAATTAACACTTAATATATGATCGAATAATAATTTTTAACTTAATCTCTTACATTCAATGTTATTCATTTCCTTCGTTTTACATTGCGAAACGTATAACTTTAAATATTATTTTATTATCTTAACGATTTGCATTTAATTGTTAAAAATATATAAAGACCAACAAATACTTTAGGTAAGTTGAGTGTTAAAATTCATTATTGTTTTTCAAAGGTATTATAACAACAAAAAATTCATTGATAATTACGTCAATTACAATTCAAAGCTTAAAATAATTTACAAGCGTATATGTAACGTAAACAAGAAATAAGTGATATTTTAAGAGAGTTGGAGATCGATCAGATTAATGGAAGAATAATGACCGAGGAAAAACCGCAGTATGCAGTTTCTACAGACACCGTTTGCATAGATGTGGTTACTTGCAATTGCCAAATGTGACAGTATGCGTGAATATATTACCGACCTCACAAACTCTTACACGAACATTCGTGTTCAACATCATCGCACTACATGGTCTGTGTTCAAACCTACGAAGTAACCAAGATCTTCAGTCCTTACAACGTACCCCTTATATTCTCGAGTAAAGTACAGGATGTTCCAAAATCAATGATCTACATGGTAAGACGATCTTTTTAAAAAGAGATACAATGAGAAACTTGTTTTACAAAAGTCGGATGATACAATCATAAAAAAATAATTATCATACCTATAATTCGTTCCTGTAATTGCTAATTGTCTAATTAAAAAAAGAAAGGAAATAATTTAAAGAAAAAAAAGTGAATAAGAACGGTTATTCGTTTATAGTAAGATTCGTTGAATGTAAAAAGCTTGCGTGCGAATTGGTCTGTTCCCCGTCCCCTCGATTCGAACCCGATGATTTCTCTTCCTTTCACTGGCGGTAATCGATTATTACAGCGGATCCATGCCACGACTCGAGTTCACGGCACGGTCGCACGGCTTTTGTACGGCTCGTCGTGGCCTCAGGAGGAGATAAATTGTGTTGTACAAATACCCATAACGACCGCGGAAAGCCTTTGGGTGCCTACCTCTCTCTCTCTCTCTCTCTCTCTCTCTCTCTCCCTCTCTCCCTCTCTCTCGGGTGCTTTTACACGATCGCATAGAAGAGGGCTCCCCGTCAAGATCGGAGTTCATTCATCAGGCAAACGCTTGCTTTATATAAGCCTAACGACCGTGAGTTAGAGTATGTTGTGTGAGCGCGTGAGCCCACGACCAACAAACCAACCAACCAACCAACCAACTAAACGAACGAACGAACGAACAAACGAAAGAACGAATGACCGATCGAAAAACCGACGACAAACGATACCTGCCAAACGAACCGCGGTATTTATCTTCGTCCAATTTTGAATGCACCATTTAGTCTACCAGCATGAACTTTATTTAGCTTTCCGACAGAACAATATTGAGATACTGCCGAATTCTTTGTTTAAACAACTATCAAAATTCCTTCCCTACGTAGTAAAGTGAATTATCGGAAATATTTGGGTACCTTTTGTCAAAATTTCATCTCATAGGTGTAGAATTTAGTTAAAAATTTCGTAGGAACTCTGACGCTACCGGACGTACGCGATTAATATCAAAGTAAGGACGTATATCGAAGCTAGAAACTAAAACAGGACGAATGATTTATCTTAACGGCGTTATAATTCTATAATCTTAACTTAAAGAAGGTCATTACCATAATGTTCATCTTCGTGCTGATCATAGGATGCCTTTTTCCTTAGGTACGCGATCGTTTCCGACGATCCCTTTCGCAATACGCTCGGAACACTGGCTACGAAGCCACGATGGAACGTTTATACGTGATTCCTGTTATTTTCAATCATTACTCTCGTCGGCATCCCTACATCCTCGCATCTCACCATAATCGTATCATCGACGGCCTATCGTTAAGGCGAACAGGAAGATGATAGGTTTAATTCCTCTTGACTCGTGCTTTGTTTCAAGAGGCTTTCGCCATAATAAGGACAGGTCCGTCACGGTGACTTGGAATTTTAGCTTAGCTCCAATCTAGCGGCACGTTTTTTTTTCTTCTAACGAAATACCGATACTACCTCTATTTTATTTGTTTTTTTCTTTTTCTTTTACAACTAACCATAAGAGAAGAAGCCATCCTTTGTTTAGAAAAAGTTCTTCAGAGTTTATAAGTAGCATGAACGCGTCACACCGTTATTCATTAATTCGAAACTTCAAGTTGCGATTCTTGACATAACGCAACGAGTTAGGATTCTTTACTTCTGATGTCGTTAAAGATGGCGAAAGAGGTTCATTAGAAAAACAGTCATGTATCTTTACTTTTCTCTCTGTGTAAGTTTTTTTCTAATGTTATATTACTTAAGTACCAAAGAGGTCGTCGCATTTAGTTTATATCTAATAACGTGAACATTTCTCTTGAGAGAGTACCTATTTCTTGACAAAATTTATCATTTCAATCTCGGACAAGGTAACGTAAATTCCACGTATAGATTTACACGCGGATAGCTTTTAGTAATACGTCCCGCTCGAAGCGCAGCAGCAACGCTTTGGCAACCACTAAATCAGATTAGAAACCTAAGATCTATTCATCGCGTTCACCCGGCCTTAACCCATACGAATAGCACCTGGGCACGCGGATGAGAGAGCTATGAGCGGCGTTTGTTCAACTTGAAAATCCTCTTCTAACAAAATATTGGTTTTCACAGATTCCAAGGACCTAACGATTTCAAACATGATTAGCGACTTGGCTATCTAATCGAATCGTTAGTATGACTGAAATACGCAAACTCTCCTCTCGACAGGATTTTATTGAATTCCAACACAACGTCAGGATTAAGTTAAATGAATATTTTCAATAAATCTTTTCTAATAAAAATCAAAGCTTTCTTAATATATTACTTTCTCGTTTCGAAGATTAGAAAGTTCAAATTTATTTAATGTACTTCAAATAAATAATATTTATTAATATTTAATAAATCATACTTTTCATTACCACGATACATATGATAAAAGATAAAGTATCCAACATCGGGCGCATGTAAAAATATACTAACCGAAGAAAATTTGAAAAATAAGGTAGTAAGTATTGACGTAAAAGTACGCAAGGGAAGTACGGTCTCGAGTCAAGCAAGCAGCAAGAAGAGATAGTAAAAATTTGATCCCAACGAGCATTGTCGTCCCGTTGGCAAAGGCGTCATAGAAACCACAACGGTATGGATCGAAAGAGAGAGAGAGAGAGAGAAATAAAAAGAGGCGAAAATGTGAAAATGTGGGAGTCGAGGACGTAAGCCAAACCGCGATAAAAGGTACTCTAAATAAAG